ATTTATTTTTCAGGACAAAAAGAATAACAAAATAAAAAAAGATAAAGAAGCTTTATTTTTAAATGACAGATTGATTCAGGTTTATGAGAAAAGTAATAATCGATGATTGGAAATTCATGACTGAGTAAAAGTTTTTAAATGTTCATCTCACACGAAAAGATTTTCCTGTAGTTTTGTTACAAAATGGCAAAGATATATATAAATATATATGAATACACAATATGTAGAAATGTAGTTTATATTCCTGTTAAAACGTCTTCACTACACCTAAAGTTTCTTATTTTATTTTTTACTTTATTTATTCTATTTTTAGTGGCTTAATGTCCAACAATAGGGGGAGCTAAAATATAAAAAAAAAAAAAAAAAAAAAAGATTTAATCAATAAGGCTCCTACATTTAATGGTGATTTGTGAGTTTTATTAAATCACAGCAGAATTTCCATTTTAATAACTTTCTATAACAGGTTGATGGATTCTTGGATTAAATAATAATTCCTGTTTTTAATAAACTTACTGTTTGAAAAGGTTAAAGCTAACTTCAATAACTGACTTAAGATTTACTGCTTTATCTTCAAATAAAAAAAAATAGTCAAAGTATTTTGTTTTGGTAAAATTATTTTCTGATCTTGATTCACAAAAGATGATAAATGTAATACAGTTTATATGTTTTATTAGTTAAGCCTTTATCTTTTTTAATTGTGATAACCTTTCTATCAAGTAAAAGCAAAAACATTATTTAGTTTAGCTCGAATAAATGTAATAAATATTTTCTGAGTAACTCTAATTAAAAAAAATCAATAATAAATTTATAAACGGAATCTTTTTTTTTTGTTTGTTTATTTACAAGTTTTTTCTTCTTTTTGCAGTCAGTGCATGTCGGGGGAACATCTGTTTTACAAAGTTATAGATTTCTGTGTGCAGCTTTGAGTTTTCTCTTCCCCTTGTTCTTGCAGAAGTCCAGGGACTCGGGCGACACCTTCGTGCAGCAAAACTTCTCCCTCTTTCTGCATCGGCACGGGTTCCTTTTTCCACTTCTCACCTGCAACAAGCGGGTTAATAACAGATTAGGGACTGAAATGGTGAAAACTGAAAAATAAACTCTTCATTTGTGAGAAACTTTGACTTTCTTGACTTTTGTCCTTGTAAATTTTAATTATAATCACTAGAATATATTCATAAAGTAATAAGAGTCACTGTTTGGTCCCATGAAGCTGCATTATATTATATTTATACTCTATTTATTTTATATTTGAGTACAAAGGAGTCAGTTACTGCAGGTCTCAAATTAAACAAGTCATACTTTAGATGTTTACTTATGTGCAACATTATTAATTTTCTTAGACTTTTAGTTTTTCACCCAAGAAATAATAAATGTGTTATTTGATCTGCTTATGAAAAAGTCAATCAACTACTTAAATTTTTAACAAGATAATTTGAAGCACATGGATTAGTGTTGGTGCTGATGAAACAAGTCTAACAAACCTGGAGTTTAAAGTGGTTGTAGCTGAGTCATGTCCGACACATACTCTGACCAAACTGTAATTTTTCAAAATCTTAACTTATATTTTTTGGCATTTCTTCAATAAATACAGATTTTTTACGTTTATTTTCACCAAAGTTGATGCTCAATAATCCAGGTAAAAATCCAACAATGTTCAGTCAGGTCATCTGGACGGTTTCTGTTTTTGCTGAGATGTTTCATCCATCATCCAAAGGACTTGTTCAATCTGAGGAGACGGTTTGGTGTCTCCTCAGATTGAATAAATCCTTTGGATGAAGGACGAAACGTCTCAGCAAAAATAGAAACCGTCCAGATGACCTGACTGAACATTGTTGGTTTGTTTTAATTTCTTTAAACAGAAATAAAGAGCAACTAGTTTCGGAGTAAATAGAATATCATAAATGCGTTTTTTGTTTTGTAACACACATACTGATGCTGAAAGGGGCTTTTTTTTAAATAGCGACTCCATCATTTCTCACTCTTCATTAGAGGCTTTAAATGTGGGACCATAGCATAATATTCAAAAACCTATAAAAGAGTAAAGTGGGATCAACAGAGACTTAGTTTAAAAGAACATTTCTAGACTCAGTCACTGGACACGTGACACAAGAAACACATAAATGAAGAAGGAACATGTACAAGAAAGGAAGCAGGAAGCTCTTTTAATAGTCACTTATTTTGTACGTCACAAAACCACCAAATTACAAAGAAACACCAACACACAAACACACAAATAAGAACAAGAAACTGTAAAGTCTGAAGGTCATGCTCAGCTAGACTCCTTGAAGTGACAAATACTTCTGATTCATGCAAGATGTCCTTCTGCAGGAAGGACTTCCTCATTTAGATCTTTTTCTGCAAACGCAGAAACTTTAGCGGTCTTTAGTCACTATGTTTCCTAATAACCTCTGTTCACTCTAAGATTTCTGCTCCTCAGACTCCTCATCTGAGAGCCGTGTTTAATCCGATTCAATAGTTCATAAATACATTCATAAATAAATAGTTTGTGTGCATTCACAAATAAAGGCGATATAATAGTGTGTTGTACTGATAATCTGTAAATACATAAATAAATATATATTAAATAGCAACACTTTTTATCTTGAACCATAAATATGTGAACAGACAGACGGAGGACATAATAATTTTAAAAAATCATAAACATGACTCACAAGAGAACACTGAAGACAAGTTAACGTGCAGGGAAACATGTAAAGTGTAAAAGTTGACAGCTCAAATAATTTCAGTGGGTTACATTTTTCCACGGAGTCCACTGACTCCAGGGGGAGAGGACCAGCGAGTCCCTGGAGCGAACCCTCAGCTTGCTGATCCTCCTTGGGATCCGAGTGGACAAAGACCGCTGTTTCTAAAGTCAGATGGGACAGTCAGAAAAGCCCAACAGAAATCACGGCAGACGTGTCCGAGTGTGAGCGAGAGGTCGTATACGTACGCTGCCGTCATCCCTGAACATGTACTCGATCTCGTGCTCCAGGCTGAAGAAGCTGTGAGGAGTGGACCAGCTGGAGGGGGGGTTGATGGTCACGTTCAGCTCCTGATCCACTTCCTGGCACCGGACAATGTGGGGACTGTCAGGGACAACTGGAACAACACGCACAAAGTTAATCAGGGCCTTGCGTTCCTCGAAGAAATGCAAATGGACAGAGTTGAAGCCTTTTTGCTCAGACCTTGTAAATGTTGTTCCAGTCTCATGAGGTGTTGTGAGACGGGACCAAATTTTAGCTCAATATCTGTAAAACGATTGTAGCAACTTTTGCGTTTCTTAGTGTTCAACAAAGTTAAGTCCGGTCAGTTTATTTTTTGTTTAGACCTTTCATCCTTCATCAGTCTGAGGAGCCACAACAAACTCAGTCCCCCACAAGCAGCACACTCACATAGTGGGCCAACCAATTTGATGGTGATAAGATGGTTTCTGGGACCCGCCCTCGCCCCCGTCAACTCCACTGAGGCAGCCGTAGCCAAAGTGCTTCAAAACATCAAAGTTCGTGCTCAATAATCCAGGTAAAAAATACAACAAAGTTCAGTCAGGTCATATGGATGGTTTCTTTTTTTTGTTGAGACGTTTCATCCAAAGGACTTCATCAGGTTGACCCACTATGTGGGTGTGCTGCTTGTGGGACTGAGTTTGTTGTGGCTCCTCGGACTGATGAAGTCCTTTGGATGAAGGACGAAACACCTAAAAAAAAAGAAACCATCTAGATGACCTGACTTAACTTGGTTGAATTTTTAAAAAAGTCTGGATTATTGAGCATGAACTTTGATGTTTAGCTGTAGTGGCCATCTTGAACTGGAGTGACTCTCAGACTTAATTAGTTGTGTGTTAGTGTTCATAAAACAAAAATAAGGTTTGGTCGACAAAGGCAAGGCCGAAAACCTTATCGCCTTCTGTCTTTGGTAAGCATGAAGAATTTGAATACCCAATTACTAAACTAGATCAGTAACTCTGAGAGGACAAGACAAATATTTCCAAAACATAAAAATAAAAACTTGCATCCTGATGAGTGATGACATAAAAACTACACTTTAAAAGACTCAGAAACTTCAAACTGAAGCCCTGTCGGGGCACCGATCATCTTAAATTGTTTAAAGACGTTATCCTTCAGGAACAACGGTGCTGATTCAGCGCGTAGAAAACCGAGGGCCGTGATTTGTTTCTCACCGATGTCTCGGAGGTAAAACAGCTTGGTTCTCCTGAGGAAGAACAAGTTGTTGGTGGCCTCGGCAGTGACCTCCAGCATGGAGCTTTCTTCTGCGTATGGTGAGAGGGTGTGGGACAGGACAAACTGGAGGCCCCCGCTCTGGAGATGGTCACTGCTGCTCACCCAGTTACACGACTCCTGACCTTTGGTGCTGCAGAAAAACAGACTTTAAGAGAGATCCTTCACTCAGAAACACACACGTCTGTTATTAGTCTGTACTGGGACATCACCGTGCACACAGCAGTGTGAATAAACAACAGTGTGATTGTTGATTCATTATTTACACTGTTGTTGTCCAGTTAATTGCATTCATTTATTTTTTACTACATTTTTTGTGATTTAACTGCATACTTTGTGCCATTCACGTGTTTAAATGTTCACCGTATTCAGAAGATTACAGCTGTGGATTGTGTGTTTTGCTTTTTGGAACTTTTATACTTTACAAAATGTTTCATTTTTTAAATAAATTATTTTCTTGTAAAAAAAAATACACTGATATAAAATCAATTCCTTCAAAAACAGTGGTTTAAAATCCGCTGTAGCATATTTGTACTTTTTTTTTGTCATAGTACTTTTAGCTGATCTTCTGATTTGCTCTTTTTTAGCAAGCTTTTTATGCCTTTTAGATAGCATTTAGCTGCTTTTATCTTTTAGTTGACTGTTTGTTACTTTTACATTTTATTTGACCTTTTGTTAATTCTACTATTTAGATAATTTTCAATTTTAGAGTTTAGCTAATCTTTTGCTACTTTTGTCTTTCAGCTAGCAATAATTTAGTATTTAGTCAGCCATGCTACTTTTAGCATCTAATGCTTTCCTACTCTAGTTTTTCTTTTTTCTTTTTTACATTAGCTTTCAGCTAGCCTTTTGCAACATTTAGTTTTTAGCTTGTTCTGGTCTACTTTGAAGATGTTTTTTTGTATTTTTAGCTGTCAGCTAGGGTTATGCAACATTAAGCTTTTAGCTTGTTCTGGACTTCTGTAGATTTTTTTCATACTTTTAGTTTTTAGCTAGTGTTCTGTTTCTTTTACAGGCTGTTCTGTTTCAACTAAGATTCAGCTTGTTCAACAAATATCAGTCATTCAGCACTCAGCATCTACACTGCATTTTTAGCAGAAAAAGTTTTTTTTTGTTTGTTTGTTTGTTTTTTAGAGCTTTTTAATTTTTTTTTACCATTCTCGGGCAAGTCCAAGGCGCACAGCTGTGTATCCACTGTTGGTCCAGCTACAGGTGAAGTTACAATCATAAGACTTTGCACGGCATTTGAGGAAAGAATCTGAAATCAAACACAAAGACAAGCACATCTAAAACTGTTCAGACTTTCTTTAATTCAGCATAAAGTCAAAAATGGTTTAATTTATACACATATTTCACTCAGGCTTTCATCTAGTTTCAAGACTTTAAGCTGTTTTTGGTGGAGCAATAGCTCCTTAAGTTGCTGCGAGAGAAACATTTTCAGAGGTTTTCATCAGAAGTACTGAATAACAAAGATGATATTATTACCTATGTCCTCATCTTCCTCAGCCTCCAGCAGCAGATGGGTTGATGATAACTTCTCCCCACCTCTCCAGCAGCTGTATTCTCCCAGCATGGGCAAATCTACCTCGGGCACAATCAGGTTGTTTCCATCCTTCTCAACGTCGTCCTCAGAATTGACATCCTTGCCATCCAGCTTCCACGTGACAGGCTCGTTGCTGGCCGTTGTGCAGGTCAGCGTGACCGGGTTTGTGTCGCTCCTTTTAGCAACCACAACTAGACAGACCAGAAAACAAGTTCATATTGAGAAGAGCTCAACAACTCAATGTGCCTAAAACCATTTAACCCAATAAATAGACCTACAGTTTTCTGGGAAGTTGCTGAGTCCATGTGCTCCAGTTAGACTGATCAACAGAAGGCCAGTTATCCACAATGATGAAGTCATCTGAAAGAAGAAAATTATTATAAACAAGTTTATAAAATATGTATTTAAGCATCCAATTCTGTTTGTATTATTTCAGTTATAATTATCTCTTACCCTTTGGACGTAGTTACCCTGCACAGAAAGGCAAAAACAGAAGTTCAGTGGAGTGAGCGTGATGAGTGCTCAAACTAACCACTGAGCATCATTTTTATAACCATCAACTCAGCGCTCTCAGCCGGCCCCCTTGTACCACCTCTTGAGGTGTGAATGAAACTGACCAATACTGTGAAACACACATGAGAACCTGCAGCAGGCGGTGACATGCAACATTTCCTCCATTCTGATTTGCATCTCAAATTTATTTTTTAAAAACAAGGAAACTGAGTTTCGAACAAGGCAGTAAGAGATAAGAAATGTGGGTGTTCACTGAAGGTGGGGGGCGCCCGCTGACAGCTCTCATGATCAAACACCTCAGATACTCTATCTATCTATCTGTCTGTCTGTCTGTCTGTCTGTCTGTCTGTCTGTCTGTCTGTCTCTCCGTCTGTCATTTTTATAAGGAACACATATCATTTAAGACAAAAGTTTAATTAAAGATGGCTTCCACACTTGAGACACGTTGACGCCCGGTCTATGTGTTAAGGATGACTCTCAGCTACTACCACATAAACTTTATCTTGGGGGGGGGGGGGGGGGACAACTTAATTTTGTGTTAGCAAAGGTTGATTAACTGTGGTGGCCAACTTGAACTGGGGTGATTCCAAATGTCAGTCAGTTGAAGGTGTACATCCAGGGACTACTTACTGGAAATTTAATCAAAATTGATGTGGTTCAGGAGATATTTTGCTAACTGACAAAGTTTATTGAAAATAGTTGAGGGCAAAGGGTGATAAGTTTGCACTTGGAGTATGTGTTTGGTAATTACTCTCAGCTACCTCTAATCAAAGCTGAATATTGGTCAGTTTGGTTGAGTCATAGCCATTTTTGTGTTTGCTAAGGTCGCTTAGCTCTGGTGGCCATCTTGAATCTGATTAACTCCAGAGCTTAATGGGTTGTGTAGCTAGGTAGATCAATCAATGATTACTTTTTGACAGTTTCAATAAAATTGGTTCATGTTGCCGCTGCTACCAGAAAACACAAACACCGTGAAACATTATTGCTGGTTTGTCTTCAGTGGTGGGTGATAAACCTACAGCTAAAAGATCTGAGCAATAAACAAAAGTGTAGCTTGATATAAAACTTTATTCTGGTCCAAATTAACAGAATCTGTTCTCATCCTAGCCAATAAAAATCACTGGCTTCTCCCCAACGCATGGTTTTGATGGACGCCCTAAACCTGCAGCCTCGGGATTATAAGAATGCAGCACTGACCACCGAGCTACCACAGCCTCCTTTGGCATTCCCCAATAACATGACCAAAAAAAAAAAAAACTTCTGCTATTCCTAAAGTGCAAGACTGTGTGGACAGTCTCACGGGGGACAGGAGTGATGGATCAGTAGCAGGACTTTCCCTGATGGGTCAACCCTTCTTTGTAAAAGGTCAGCTACTAGAATAGAAAGACACTTATTTGTTTCCTCGTCCATGCTGTACACAGATGATTTGTTCCTGTTATACATACATATGAAGTCACTCACTAAACTATGACAGACACACAGGACAGCTTTGTTGCTATTCAGTGTCCCTTTGGACTTTAGGTGAATTCAGCCTCTACAGAACAACAAGCATCATGTAAACATGTTACAAAATGTGCAGATGTGTCATCAGAAAACAGTCACTTTCAGGTTTCAGTTCCTCAAAAGCTTTACATTACATTGTTCTTGAGAGTCACCAAGGGGCATTTTTAATCTTCGAGTGCAAAAATGTCCAAGCACTTTAAATATTCTCAGCCAAAAGTGATGGCGAGTCAAAACTGTGAGACATGAAAACAAGCGTCAGAGAACACATCATACTGGTCAGTGTAGGTTGACGCTTTACTAAATTGAGTGAAAAATAATTGTCAAAAAAGTTTTTTTTTTTTGTTCCTGTTAGCAAAAAAAAAAAGTGTTCACAATAAAATAATGCTTTTAAAGCCAAATGCCTGCAATTTCCTAGCTTCTTATGTGAAAGTCTCCCTTACTTTGTTAAATCATGAACTAACCACGATTAACCACATTATTTGGAAAGCAGAGTTCAGTTTCACCCAGCAGCCACACACAGACCAGATGATGGTCAGACATGTGGACTCAAGAAATCACTCAAATTAAACTACTATCCACACATGGAGGGACAGTGGTGAACCTTCTCGGGAGCGTCCGGCTGACCAAATTGATTCTCGCACATTGAGGAGTCCAGCAAGTCCCAAAAGTACCCAGAACATCATCTAAAGCCCTGCAGACCTCACTTCAGTTAAGGTCAGAGTTCATGATTCAACAGCACAAAGGAGAAGAACAAGTTTCCTTCAAGTTCCAAGGCCAAGAGCTCAAAGGCCTGTCTCACATTTGCCACCAAACATCTTGATCCTCAGGACTTAAGGGGAAAATATTCTGTGGACTGATGGGACTAAAGTGAAACTTTTTGGAAAGTGTCTCTGTAGTAAAAATAACACTGCATTCCAGAAATAGACTTATAAACATAGAGGTGGTGGTGTGATGGTATGGGGTTGACTGGACGACTTGAAACCATGAATTCTCCTCAACCAGAAAACCCTGAAGGAGAATGTTTGTGACCGTTCGCTCAAGAACACGAGTTCTGCAGCAGGACGATGATCTGAAGCTCTGCAGCATTCCTCCACCGCCGTGTGAACAACTCAAGGGTGGCACCAGTTATTAGGAAAAACCTTTTTCCATAGGGTCAGATTGGTTTAGCTAGATATTATTCCCTTTATTAAACAAAAATACAATTTACAAGCTGCCATTTGTATTTGCTTTTTATTTTCATCTAATATTAATATTCAGCTCACCTAACAAAAGAGCAAAATCAAAAGAAACTTGTAAGGAGCTAATACTTTTTCAGAGCAGTTATTTAGAAGGCTGAACATAAATATAAAATAAGTATATAACTATTTGAAAACTAATTTTGCAGTTGGGAAGAAATCAAAACCTCATTTAAATACCTGCTTGATACGCTCAAGCATGGCATTTTATTCTGAACTCAAGCCCAGTTTGGCTACATCATCGATAAACCCTGAAAACCCAGAATGAGGTAGTCACATGAGGCAAGTGTCGTGCAGCATGATTTCTACTTTCCTTTCTAAGAGGAACAACATGAGGGGCTGAATTTGAAGCATTCAGCTCTATTGTGTTCAAGTTTGTAAACACCTAATGTATTTTTTTGTTTTTGTCAGTTCTGCCAACAAGTTTTACTCCCAGACAATTTGTCCTCTATTCACTGTACAATTAATCCATTTTCTCTGGGAGACTGTTTTTAGTTAAAACCATGACTCTTATATTCTATATAAAAACTAATCAATACCTTATTTTATTAAGAAATTGTAAATAATGAATGTCGCATATATAAAAGAATGTTAAACGTAATCTTTATTACATGCTTAATTAAGCTCAATACATTTTTGTTGTGTTGGCTTTACAATGCAGAAGAAACTGTGTGTGAGAAAAAGAAGGCTGTGCACATGATACTGAATAGTTTACACTGAACTGTAGAACCACACAGGACAAGAGTTACTGTAAATGTGACTCCTAAAAATCCAGTTCCGTCTGTAGCCATGAAGAATGGAGAGATCAACAAAAGATTTCTCTGCTGAATGCGATGACCCACGGACAACCCTGACATGCACCGCCGGTGCTGGTTAGTTTGCTTCGTTCTTTGAAGCTTCATCGAAGTTTTCTACAAGATCTAAAAAAAAACAAAACCAAAAAGGAGATATAAAGAAAAGAAACAGAAAACACAAGGAAATGAAGACAAAAAGTTTTAAGATCTTATGGTATTCAAACAGAATTTAGTCAGTCGTTTTTAATGTGGTTAATAAAAGTATGTTTTATAAGAAGCTTTTACTATGTTGCTACAAACATTCATACATATCCACTGAGGCGATTTATATTAGACTTAATGAAAGGATGCAGATTATATTTCCCAGTTCAGAGAACATTTAATCAAACATATTTTATATTTAAAAAAGCCAAACATCTCAGTAAACATTTCAGCTGTTGTGCTCATTTTAATGCAACAGTAGAATAAGGAATGATTTTATTTTTCTAAAGAAAGTGTAAATATGCTCACCTGGAACCTCATCCTCCTCCTCTTCAGCAGCAATTGTAGGAACTTGGCTCTCTCCACCTTGAGGGAATTGAATCTCATCAGCAATGCAACATACAAAACTGGAGATACACACAAGGAATTTTCTTTTTTTGCTGGTACCTGGTTTGGGCAGAGACTCTGCTAGTCTCCTGAGGCTGGTAAGACTGTCTGCTCCCAACTGGTTTAGGATTCCTGGGAGCATCTCTGTTAGCTGTTTGTTCTCAGCGTGCCCCGTGATCGTGAAAGTGTTGGCAGCCAAGGAGGCCTGAACTTTTGGGTTATTAAAATGGATCACTGTGCCCTGGTTTGTAAACATATTAACCTGAAGAAAAAATAAAAAACAAGGCACTGAGCAAAGTTTAAGGAAAGCAAAAGCAGCACAGATCATGGCAAACACAAATTCCAGCCGTGAACTAATTAAAAACATTTTAAGTTTAATTAATCTTCTTTTTATATTTTGGTCAACTACTATAATATATATGTTGACAAAGTTAGTAATTTTTTTGAGTGAGTAATTAAAGGCATCGGTCACTGCAGTGCAGAGCATTTGTCTTGCTGCTGAACAGTTACTTTAGTACCTCCTCAATGCCAGAGATATTGTTGACGCCCAGTTTCTTCAGTGAAAACTGCAGCTTCTTATCATCTGCTGTAGCTGTTCTGTGCACCACCTTCTTCTTCCTGCGGGCTGACCCCTACGACAAACAAAAACTTGCCTCAACACATAACCCAGAGACCTGTAATGACACTTATTTTGCAGCAATGTACTGTATTTAGCTTACTTTGCCGCCTATGCGGACCTGCGCCTGCAGTTTGGCAAGCTTCTCCTGGTTCATTATCGACTCCTTCATCTGATACAAGAATTAAGATACAGGTTTAGTTCTCCATAGCAGAAAACAAAAGGTGACATTAAAAAAAAAAAATCTAATAAAAAATTGACTTATTTTATAGCTGAGATATGAATACAAACACAGAATCAAAACAGAAGTGTTAAATCGTTCTCATTAGTTTTGAGATTAAACAAAAGGTGTGAAAATGGTTTTAAGACTTCTCCCTTTCCCTGAAGGACACCTAATAAATCTGTAAGCACCTAATGTGTAACTTCAGTTAACAAGAAACGTGAACTAAGATGAATACCAGACGTGAAACTCCCTAAAATCTCCCCTCAGATTTGCCCTTTTTGCACAGCAAACCAACAAGAACCCACAGCTGTCAAAGGCTCAAAATAGCTGCAGGCTTTTAGTGTCGGTGTACATAAAGTTCAGCTCAACTCAGCTTTAGCATAGAGTTGAAATGTTATCTAAGATGGTGAATAGCTTTATTTAGTCTGCCAAAAGAAAATATGTCAAGAAATGTTTAAAAAAAAAAATCCTGGTTCTTCTATCAATTAAACAGCCGGCTAGTTTAGCTAGCGAAGTTAAACAGCTAGCTTGGGCCTCTTCAAATTGTCGTTAAAACTGACGTGAGCCGGATGTTTTTATCGCATTTTAACTTGCGACAGGACAATAAGTTATATTTTATTTGTTTAATTAAAATTACACTGTTATGACAAATATAATAAATTACAAACAGCTGAGAACAAACCTGGGAGTGTGTACACACGCGGGTCACACAACAGTCGATAAAATCGGAAAGGACTGAAGACCGGAAGTGACGAAATAGCTAGCTAACATACTAGTGTTTTCCCGAATAAGGTACCCCTGTCGTCAAACGCTTAGACGGCCATAAAAAGCGTTACACACTTGTTAAAATTAAGTAATTCTGGCAAGTATTTTTTATGGTAAAAGTTACCGGGAAATGCAAGACATGTTTTCGCTTTTAACGTTTAAGTCTTTATAAGTGTGTCAAAAGCATCGTGCTTTCCGTTTTAGTAAGCGTTTGATAGCAGGGGTGTTTTTTTCTGCACAACACCGCCCATAGTCTACAGAGTTTTTCCACAATTTATTTTACATTTTCTAAAATTAAATACATAAAAAATACACAAAATAAATAAAATGAGATGAGTAATTTTGCTTTTCGTTGATTACATCTAAAAAAAATAAACATTTGTTTTATTCGTTTCAAACAGCGGAAGTAGTTCTTTTCACAGTCATGGCGTCCTCCTGTCCGTCGACAGGCAACGTGATCATTCAGTAAAAATGAGTTTTTCTTAAACCCAGACTCCAAAACTGAATATAATTTATAAACAAAGCATCGCACGTAAAATTAGATCTGCACTCCTGGTTTCTTTTCTGTTCAGAGGTGAGAATTAGTCAGAAGTTTTTAAATTCGAGCCGTCTGAGTTTGCTTACTTGTGCTGAACACGTTTGCTTTTTATTAAACGGTTGTCAGATTTGTTCGTGTGTGCTCGTCCGATAAGTAAATGTAAAGTAAGGGTGGTTATAAGTATTTAGCTTCTGTGGCTCGGGTCTGTTGTCATGCATTGCTGCTTACACGAGGCGAGTCAACGTTTTAAACGTTATTAACTTTTCCACCATCTCTATCCTCTCATACGTAGACACTTCTTAAGTCACCTCATAGATGGCTTCTTTTAAACCCACGAAAATCCCTGTTTTTCCTAAACTCGGAGAAAAGATCACAGAAGACACACTGTACTGGAAAAACTACAAAGTACGTATCTTCTGACTTGGGCTTTTTAAAATATTATTTTGGATGGGATGAATATTTTATACAATTTGTGATCTCATATTTGAACAGGCTTGCTTGTCGTCCAGGATCTAATTATGACTTTGTTTTCCTCCTAACAGGCTCCTGTCCAGATTAAAGAATTTGGAGCTGTCTCGAACATAGACTTCTCCCCTGTGGCTCCATATAATTTTGCTGTAACAGCATTTACAAGAGTGAGTTGGCTCTACCAGCATGAATTCATAGTAATTCACTTTAGAATGGGTTCAATTTAATTTCTATTCATTGTCACAGCAGAAAAGGTTAAACCAAAATGCAAAATATATAGAAAATGATTAATGCATTGTCCTTAAATCCAGTTACACAATATATTAAACTGGATTAAAACAATTAATATCCTATAATACTATTTCCTTTCTCATTTCCATGTATGAAATGTACAAACATTACAGACTGTACTGTTATTAACTCATAGTTTAAGCAGAACTGCCAGAGTCTCTTGAAGTGTTTACTGGTCCATGTACCCAAATGCAGAAATACTAAAATGTCCAAGTAGTAACGATTCATGTTTTGACTGCAATCTTTTAATACTCCAGCACTTGTTTTTCTACAGATCCACATCTATGGACTATTCTCCCAGGAACCTGTTAAGGCCTTTACCCGGTTCAAGGACACTGCTTACTGTGGCAGGTTCAGGTCGGACGGTCAGCTGCTTGTGGCGGGATGTGAGGACTCTGTTGTTCGACTGTTTGATGTCAGCGGCAAGGCGGCACTCAGGATGTTCAAGGGGCACACAAAGTGAGCATCATTTCATCACCGTCTGAGCTTTTTAGTTGCTCTGTCCTCAACTTTAAACTTTGTGTTTTAACAAATGAACTATATTTCAACTTTGTTAAATGTGGTGCTTAAGTTTATGTGGATTTGCACATCAGATCTTCTCGTAGAAGAATTAGTCTTTATGCTTATTTGGCACAACTGTTGCTTTAATATCCAAGTAGTCTCATCTTTAAAAAAACATTGTCAAATTTGAGCTTTTATTGTCTGATAAAGAAGTTGAATGATGATTTCTTAAGTGATCCATCGACTGAGTTTCATGATGATCTTGAGAACTCTGACAACATGTAAGCTGTTTTAAAACATATCTGCTGGTGAAAATGAACTGAAAAGAATGAAGTAGTTTCCTTTTGTTGTACTCAGGGCTGTACACGTAACAGATTTCACCTCAGACCATTACCAGATCTTCACAGGGTCTGATGACTACACGTGTCGACTTTGGGACATCCCAAACGCAGCTGAGCTCACCTCCTACCAGGAACACACAGATTACGTTCGCTGCGGTGTTGCGAGCAAACTCAACAGGGATCTCTTCATTACAGGTGAGGCAAAAAGACACGTTTGTACGGTTTGGGGAAATGACCAAAGGAATGGCAGGAAGTTAACCTTTTGACTCAGTAGCATAAATATCAAGGGTAATCAAGGTAACTTCTGAATAGAATAATAATTTTAAAAAATCAAAACCAGTCCAGAGGTTAATAATGAGCTGCTGAATGACTGAGTGTTTGATCTGACCAAGAGTTATTCTTTTTATTCCAGGATCATATGATCACACGCTCAAAGTATTTGATGCCAGAACGGACAAAAGTGTGATGAGCATGGACCACGGCCAGCCAGTGGAGAGCCTCCTGCTCTATCCCTCTGAGGGGCTCCTAGTCTCAGCAGGTTGTTAACACTATGAGTAGCAATTAAGAACAACACATCTTAAAGTTTTATTCCTCCTCTAGACCAAGAGGTGACTCTTCTGGTCACAGAAAGAAGTCTTGTGTAGTTAATGTGGTTAACATGTGCCTCATGCTCAGTTTCTGGTTTATACGTTTTCTTCAGTTTAGAATTATGTAAATATTTAATTGAACGTACCGTACATTTCGCCGTATAAGTCACACCTTTTTGCATAAATTTACATGCCCTGGGACTTGTACTGTGAAGTGACTTGTGTTTTTTTCCTCACATTTATAACCCAATTTTTGTCTGAGATCTGACTTTTTCATTCATTCTGACATGTAAAATATTGAATACTACCATTTTCAGCCACTAGAGGACAGTTGAGTGCTATGGCAAGCCAAGTGTCTCATTAATTCAGTTTATTTATATAACGCCAAATCACAACAAAGTTGTCTCAGGCCACTTTACAGAAACATTCAAATACATAAAAGCCAATTAGTAAAGTTCTCTGTCTAAGGAATTAATAGGTTAATTAATAGGTAAAATGGCTATTAATTAGACACTTTGCTTGCCATACAAAGCAACCTTCGTCTCGCTCCGGAAGTCCTGGAGCAAATGTCAAATCAGCTGCATTTCACCACGCCGCCCAGGCAAAATGCAGCTGATTTGACCATTAAAGTGCATTTATTAAGGAAAAGTTCAACTGAGATACATCGTTACTATAATGTCGAGCAAACAAATAATTGTTTTTCTTTGGTATCTTGTTAAATTTTAAAGAAATGCACATCGAGTCCTCCCTTTGCGCACTCCTGCTTCCGCAAATCGCTTTTTGAAATGCAGCTGATTTGACCATCAAAATGCATTTATTAAGGAAAAGTTAAACTGACACACCTTTGCTATAATTTTGAGCAAACAAATTATTGTTTTTAAGTGTTAATCTTGTTAAATTCTTGTTAAAGTCCTCCCGTGCACGCTCCCCCGGCCGCCATTTGGCATTTGATCAATTTTTGGCACAACATTGACCCACGTTTCCAGGTGGTCAGCGGTGACGCATAATAGATGCGACTTATTTGTTTTTTTCCACTTTATTAGACATATTTGGACTGATGCAACTTATACGGCGGATAGTACGGTAAATGGGATAGTAAAACAAGATTCATCTAGATTCAGTTACCTTATTCCAGATGTTTGTCAATTAATCCTGCATTCATTACCAGATTGTCAACAAAATCCACCTGGTTTGGCGGCTCACAGCAGATCTTCATACTGAAGTACATTGTTTATATGAAATTAAATCTTATGTACTTTAAATGTACATTTAGTCCGTTTGGTTTGCTTGTAGTTAGAAGATGTCAGATCTGTGGTGAAGATCTTGATCTGGATTATTTGTAAATATTTTCTGAGTCTCAGTAACTTGTTTCAAGCCTCTTTTTTTTAACAAACTTAAAGTTCAGTTTGTACCTAGTGGTACAGTTAAGTGTAAAAAAACCTAAAGGAAGTTCTATTTTATGTTAGAGGCACCTTATGAATATTAAGTGCTCAGTTCTCAGTCAAATCCACTTCTCATTTATTTATTTGAGAAGAATCATTTATTTATTTGAAAAGAATAAAATAGCCACGTTGAAAATGTCTAATTTGAAAATACACAAACCAATAAAGTAATGCCTCATACCCTACATCCATCTTTTATATACATTCTGTGTAATTTAGCACCACATTCCAGTCATATTATTACTTTTGCATGATTCTTGTCCCTGAACACAAGCCCACTCACACACAGATTATATTTATTCGTATGTGACAAGAAGGTCAGACAACCTCTTAAGTTATAAACTTTTGTTCGTGTCTTTAGGTGGACGCTACGTTAAAGTGTGGGATTTGTTAAAAGGCGGCCAGCCCCTGGTGTCTTTGAAGAACCACCATAAAACTGTCACCTGTTTGGCTCTCAGCCACAACGGACACAGACTGCTGTCAGCATCTTTGGACAGGTAGGGTGACTTTAGGATTAAATTAACTTGGGAAACACGTCTGTCATAAACACAAATATTCTAACCTGAGTTAACACAATTTTTATTATGGCATGGAGTTACTTTATAAGCATTTTTTTTTACAAGTTATTCTGGATACACAAGGTGTTTCTGTATGAGCGGATACAGACACCGGTTGTTGGTCCCCTTACAGCTCTTTGAAACAACGCTTCATTTCTTGTTAAGGTTCTTTGTCATGCACATCACATGTGGTACATGAGGTGGAACAAAATTGTGTACACAGCGTCCCAGTTACAATAGCAAAAATATAAAGTGTAAAATAAAACGGTAAATAAAGATCTAAGATATAAACTAAGTTATACGCTAAACGATCAACCGGTACGCTAAAAGATCTAAGATATATGCCGGTCACTGATAGCGCAAAACAATACACCGAACAACCGCAGCATGAACATGAGTCTTTGTGGGTGGATGAGTACGAATGAATGAATACAGCAGCATGAAATGATCAGCAGCATGAGATCAGCAGCATGGATAATCAGCAGCATATATCAACAATCAAAGTTGCATTACAGTGATTTTGTTTTTTTCATTTCTTGTGAAAAGTAATTCAGTTAAAAGCAATGGTCTAACTTATTTCCACAAAGCTTTATTATGTGATAGAATAAGCAAAATTAAAATATGAAAATACATCATTTTCTGTTTGTTTTACAAACATGTTAAAATAGTACGGACAGATTTGTTGGTACACTTAAATTATTTATCTTTCCTTAATAAGTGTCGCAGTTGCCTTCAAGCTTTTCATCAGCTGTTCAGCCCACAGGATTTATAGAGAACAAACGGCCACTGGGTAGTTTGGTTAAGTTGTGTGTGCCACACTGAACATGGAGCAGAGAAAACCAAAATGAGAGCTCTAAGAGGTGCTCAGAAAGAAGATTACAGACATCCACATTAAAGGTAAAGCCCATATACACACAGCTTCCTGTTCCTCTGACCACAGCTGCCAAAATTATTAACAATTACAGTAGTCCCTCATTTATCACGGGATCCGTACCCTGAAGCCGCGATAAGTGGAAAAACTGCAAAGTAGGAATAGTAATACAAGTAGTAAGTAGTAGTTTATTTTATTATGTATTTATATGCATTTAATTTAACATATATATATATATATATATATATATATATATATATATATATATATAGGCATTTTAAACCCCACACTCTTGCAATATTGTTAATATGCCTGTCACAGTAGGAAATTTTGCTGGGCGATTAATTGTCTCAGAAATTATTGCGATAAACGATATTGCAAGAGTATATATATTAATATATTGTCAAATTTGAGAAGAAATATTTATTTGTTTGGTTGTTGTACTTTTTTTTGACCACCTGATGGCAGTATAAGACTGTTTGAACCGAAGGATGGATAGTTGAGCAGCATGTCTTTTTAAGAAAAATGGTAGGGAGGGCCCTTGACGTGACATGGGCTGACATGGTGACATGGCGGACGCTTGGTGATTTGAGCTCTTCAGCATAGAATTTTTCACACAAAGCTTATAATTAAAAATCATTAAACAAGTTCTCAGCTTCTTTTTGCAGAGAAAAACAACATTTTACATGAAGGCACGGGTTTCAGCCGTGAATTTTGGAGCTCGACAAGACGGAGGTTTATTCTCTAGGTCGGCCTCTTAGCTTAGCTTCTCTGCTTAGCTGCTTTTAACGATCCAAAAACACAATTTTGGAGGGTTAAAACAGAGTTTAAAGAGAAAGGGATGGGTCAGTGAAGAGCACCGGAGTTGAGCCATGTCTTAAGTAGAAAGAGAGAGACACGAAGAAACGATAAAAACCGGTAAATGAAAACGAGGTTGATAATTTTCATTCATCATGCGATTAATGGATTTATTGTTTATTGCGACAGGCCTAATTCTAAACAATGTTTCTAAACTCTAAATGCTCTCAAAGAGCACAGACTGTCATGATTTCAGCTCTCTGCCTCCTCTGCTCTTTGCCACCTACAAGCGCTCTTGGCCACGCCCACTTCTCCACTCTGCACGCTGAACAACAACTGATCAGATGCAGCAGGAAGTTTATCCTGCAGTATGGGCTGCACAAAGCTGCAGCAGGTGCAAAATAATTAAAAATAATATATTTTAAATAAAAACTCCATGCCAATCGTGTGGCTCATCCATCAATCGGCCACTTGTGTGTCATGTCCAGTCTTATTTTGAAAAACCGCTATAGAGCGAGTCCGCGGTAAACGAACCGCCAAGTAGCGAGGGACTACTGTATAAGGTTCATGGGACAGTAGCTAACCTCTCAGGACGTAGATGCAAGAGGAAATACAACCCCATATTAATAGACCAGTGTTTGGTAGATAAAGAATCGAGAGAAGTATCCAGAACATTCAAGCTGAACTCAAGGTCGAGATGTTTCTCTGACCATGCCACTCTTCGCATTCGGAATCATACACGTTAGTGGAAGAAGATCCAGGAGGGCTCCACTATTGACAGTAGACATAAAAAGCGGAGTTCCAACAAAATGCATGTTGACAAGCCCCAAAGTTTCTGGGACTGATGAGACAAAAGTGGAACTTTTTAGCTCAAGTCATGTCAGTTAGGTTGTTTTGATCAGTGTGTAAGGGTGCTGACACGTTAATCCACAGATGTTCGAGAGTGCCCTTTTTGGGACTTCATGCTTTAAATAAAAGCTGAATCAACAGTTTTAATCTAAAAAGGGCTGTGTTTATTTTTCAGGCATGTGAAGGTCTACAACACAACCAACTATAAAGTGGTCCACAACTTTGATTATGCAGCTTCGATCCTCAGTCTGGCTTTGGCTGTAAGAAAAAAAAAACTATTATTTTTCAATCACCAAAAGCATGCACATTTCATTTTATGCCTTGTTAAATTAGTAGTGGCCTGGCATTACAAAAATTTGGACTTTTATGGAAAGAAAATATTTACAGTAAAGTTAAGATTATGCCTTTCTTTTCAGCCGGAGGATAAGTCCATCGTCGTGGGTATGACCAACAGTATTCTGAATATCAAACACAGGAAGAACCCTGAAGAGTCGAAGGAAGTAACAGGCCAACAACGGCGGCGTCCATCATACCGTGTCTTTGTGAAAGGGAAGAACTACGTCCCAAAACAAGTGAGCGAATGTTGTGGCTGTGATCAGCAGATTCATTCAAGATGTGTTATTAGTTACCAAAAGACAAAAAAAAAAAAAAGTGCAGCTTAAACCATCTTTGGTATGCTGTTTTTAATTTAAGAATTGTGGGATTATTTGTGTTCTCATGATTTTATTTCTCTGCTCACCATCTTTTCCCAGGATGATTATCTTGTCAGTAAGCCAGTGAAACAACATTTGGCTAAATATGACAAGCAACTAAAAAAGTTTAATGTATCTCAAGCTTTGGATACAGCCCTAAAGGTAAGAATTTTATGCTTTTATAGCAGTTTGGTTTAGAGTTTCTGTTGCGTTTTAGTGTTGACCTTGCTGCACAAGTCTCGTACCTCTTAGCTGAGCTGCGCAACATGCAAAGCCCAAACATGAATGAAGACGTGTATGGATTTTCTTTCCAAAATAAATAAAAAGTCTTTAATTGTCGTAGATGAGCGCACATGGGAGAAAGCCAGAGATCACTGTGGCGGTTATAAAGGAGCTGGAACGAAGAGGAACTCTGAAGAACGCGCTTGCAGGGAGGGATGAGGAGCAGTTATCTCGGATACTCCGCTTTCTCATCGGGTGCGGAGCAGATCAGGTTTTATTTCTCATTTGTGTGAAACAAAAATGAGCTAAAAGTTTACGACTCCCTCAGAGATTAGGAAAAAATATGTATAACAATAAAAAATACCGACGTTGATGTTAAATTTGGAGATTGTGTAGGCTTCGAAAGACCTGAGTGACTTAACTATAGAATTCAGAGGTGGTGGCACATGCACAACCTTAAATTATAGTATGTAGGAGTGGTCATAACATTTTAAGTATCAGTCTGTGAAATTGGGAGGCTTTGAATTGTTTCAATATAACCACTGAAATAATTTTCCCCATTTCTTCTGCAGAAACATGTTTGATGCCAGGTTTACGCCCGTCCTTGCAACAGCGGCTGATTTAATCCTAGGCATCTATCATTCTGTCGTCGGCCAGTCTGCAATCGTCGACCGTCTGCTGAGACAACTGCAGGAGCTGCTGGAGAAAGAAATCGACTACCAGAAGAACCTCCTGGAGGTTCTGGGCATGTTGGACACAATGTTTGCTTCTTCCCTCCCACTGAAGGTTTCATGCCCTGGCATGATCAGTGGATCTAATGGGCTGGCTCAGGGAGAAGCAAGTACCTCCAGATCGCAGCTTCAGGTCACCTGAGACTTGTGTTGGAAAGAACTGCTTTTAGACGGATGTAAAGTGTCTTTTTGAGACATCACATACAGATTTCTTGTGGTTAAAAACTTCCCCACGGTCGTATTCTGGGTCGATCTGCTTTGGATCCTTCATTTACAGACAACTTTTCTAACAGGTGTCACTTTTGTATATTAATGCATATAAAGGTTATAATCACAGAACTGGGGTTCAGTTAAATTAAATAGCTGCTTTGTTTTCCTAAGATCATTTGACAAACTGTACTTAAAATGAGTCTTGTGTCAGAGCTGAATGCTAAAGATTGAGTTGAACTATTTATATTTCTTTTAGCATTTTTGTCTTACTAAATCTAATTTATGTGTCATTTTTGCCACACTGCACTAGTTGACCTAGCACAATTTTGAATATAGAAAAATCATTTCTAGAGTGCGGTAATCTAATTTGCTTAAGTTGGCAGTCTTGTGCAAAAACTTTGCCTCCACATTCAGTCATTTAAATAAAAAAAATCTATAAATGCAGGGTCCCAAGCAGATGTGGCAGGCTGATCACATCTGGTACAGTTGGTTAAAGATGTAACAACCAGAAAGATGCTTTTCAGCTGTGAGTGGTAGTTTTTCTTTAAGAGAACTGTTGCAACTGTGGGTCTATATGGATGTTACAGAACAGCAGTACGGGTCAGGTGAGGACTCGACTTTACTGTGTTTTATGAGCAAGTAATTAAAAAAAGAAACATTTTAAAACCTCTGAATTGTCATAGTTTAATCCAAGTTAAACAGCAGTGGTCTCTGTGCCCTTCAGAGCTTTTCACACTTTGTCAAAGTTAATTTTGACTGCCGGTAACAAAATGTTGAACCAATTGTAATGATGTGAAATTTTACTGTGTTGCATCAAAAATTAGACCTATTCAACGAAACAATCCATGGCCAAATATGCTAATGACAAGCTATTTCCCACAAGCTAATTAGCCACAAGCTAATTAGCAAGCCAGCAACGTATCCACCAATCACAGCAGAACTTTTTCAATTTGCTTCCTGTTGATCCAAACTAATGCTAATCTGTTAGCTACTCAAGTTTCAGTTCAGGAGACAGAAAGTTTGGATTCAGTTGTGATTTGACCACATCGCAGGTAAAAACGAGAAAAAGAAAAAGGCATCTACTGTATGAAGAATGTGTGAATGTAAAAAAAGTCCCATTTTATTGAAAGTTGTCTTTTTTTTTCAACTAAATGTTAGCGTGTGTAAAATTTAACTTCATGATAGCTGACATTTTTATAAGCGAATAAAAGTTGAATTTTTGTTATAGCTGACTTGACTGTAAATGTTTAAAAAGTGGCGAATTTTAAAATTCCACTGATTAGCTTCATTTGTATAGAAAGCCATTTCATTCAAAATTAAATAAATAAGTAGTGCTATTTAAAAATTATTGATCAATATTCTATTAAACAAATGTTCCCATGAAATCAAACATTTAAATAGAAATGTTCTTTTTTTTTTTTCCTCCCAAGATTTTTTATTTCAAGATTTATTTAATAATGGAGTTTCATTTTGTAAAGCTACTTTGCATATTTCAGGGGCTTTTATTTTTTAACCCCGTTTTCCTTTTAAGCTCGTTTTATTTCATGTTCTTATATTCAAATGAGGGGGCGGGGTTTGCTCTCTTTTTGACCAATCACAGCAAAGTATTCCCCTCGCTGAGCTCTGCTCGGTCCAATCAGAGCCCTTTGTCTTTCTATGGCGCTGGCTCCAACTACCTTCAAATCATGAATTAACTGTTCAGAAAGTCAGGATGACAAGCGGGCAATATGGAGGACATTGGAGAACTCTGAGATGAATTGCAAAGAGCTGTTGATGAAATTGAGCATTATTTATTTATTTACATCCCGCGTTGATTCATTTGCAGTGTGGACACGGAGTGGAGCGGATCTCCTCTGGATCAGACACGCCCCACAAAGAAAACCCCGCCCCCTCGTTTGAATATAAGAACATGAAATAAAAAGAACAAAGTCCATGCTCAATAATCCAGGTATAAAATCCAACATTTTTCAGTCAGATCATCTGGACAGTCTGATGAAGCTTTCCAGGTGGAAGGCGAAACGTTTCAGCACAAAACAAGAAACTGTCCAGATGACCTGACTGAAAAATGTTGGATTTTATACCTGGATTATTGAGCATGGACTTTGTTGTTTTCAACCATTTTGACAAGACGGTCAACAAGGAAGAGGGCCGGCAATGGAGGAGGGGCGTACCAAAGAGACCATCTTATCATAAGCAGAACTGGTTTGTTCTACTTTGGAGTAAACTGTTGGGGGAAGAATCAGTTTTGTTGTGTGTTTCTTTGACTGATGAAGCCTTCTGGATCGAAGGAGAAACGTTTCAGCACACACACACACACACAAAAAAACAAACAAAAAAAAAAAACTGTCCAGATGACCTGACTGAAAAATGTTGGATGAAATAAAAAGCACTTTTTTAAATTTTATTCAACCTTTATCTAGACAGGTTAATCCCATTGAGCCTGGGGGGCTCATTTACAAGCGACCTGATTTCTTAACAAGTGATGACAGCAGTGGACGACAACAATAGACAGTCATAAAGTAGGCATAGACATACAAATTTGTCTTTTTTTTTTTTTACAGATCAAAACAAAACAATCAAAAGGAAAATCAAAAGGAATAGTAGCAACAACAAAAAAAAATAATCAGCTCGTTTATAAGGCGATTTAGGAAACTAAAAACAGGAACATTGGTTTTTGCCAAAATGAATTTTGCAAAACGAGGTTAAAAAAATAAAAGCCCCTAAATTATGTAAAGTAGCTTTACAAAATAAAACTGTCACAAAATGAAACTCCATTATTCAATAAATAAATCTTGAGATAAATTCAAATAAATCTGGAAATAAATAAATAAATCTTGGATTAAAAGAAACCGAAACAATTCTATTTAAGTGTTTTATTTCATGGGAACATTTGTTTATTTAATGGACTATTTGTTAATAATTTTTAAATAACTTAATTTTGAATGAAATGGCTTTCCATACTTTACCAGTAAACAACATCTGTTATTTCGGCTACTTGCCACTAGAGGTCGACGTAACCTAAAGAGGAAAGAGTCATTCATTAGTTGTTTTTTTTTTAAAGAGCAGACAAAAAACGACATCAACAGAAGAGGTGAAACAGTGAACGGAGGCAGACAACAGCGAAACACTTCAAGGCTTTAATGAATTAGACATTTAAAGGCTGTCTGGGTTTATCTACTGGAGTTTGAGCTCCTTGGAAGGTAAGCACAAAAGTATTTCCTTTTTTGTAAAGCTCGTGATTAAAACAAGGCCAGTTTATACATCTTTAAATACTTCTGACACTTGCTCTGCAGACTAAATATTTAAATCTTAAATTAAAAAACAGCACTAACCATCTAAGCCTAAATCATCCACAGAGTCAGCTGTGATGAACTTCTGCTGTGTCATAAACAGCATTTTGCACACTTCGTGCAGAAGTCTCTTGTTTTGTTGTTAGTCTGAACGTTAAAGTGAATAACCGGACCAGGAAGCGTCTCATCAACAATGCGGAGCTGCAGAGCCTTAAGATCTCTCTGTTGGGTCTAATTTAGGAAGTGGCCTCTGATGAAGAACAGATCCGAACCCTGCAGCATCACAATTCAATCGATTTTCTTGCGTGTGCACGTACGAGCACGCGCCTCATCGAACTGCCAGCATATCAGGTTTATTTTTCTGCTACAAAAGCAGAAAAGTGTCATCGTTAAGATAATCACTCACATTCTTGTGATCAAAAGATTCCCCCTGTCTCTTCAGTTGACCTCTGACTGCTTAAAGAGGTCAATAATCCCTTCAGGATTAGATGAGAACCAAAATCAGCAAAGAAATAATATGGTCACATGGCTGATGTTCATTCTCCCCTCCTGATTTCCCCCATTTTTATTTCAGTGATTCCCTCCTTCCTTGAATGGATCTGAGCAGGAGGAAAGTGCCTCTTTATGTGAGTACACGCTACAGTTTTCAGAGCAGCGTCTCCGCTTAATCTCAAGGGTTGAGCTGGGAATCTCTGTGGAAAATCTCAGCAAATTAAGGTTGGAATGCAGTCAGGAATTAGTGCACTCATTAAAGAATTGAAGACCAAGTTTTTAAAAGGAATGCATACAACATTGTAGCTGTTTTCTAGTCTTGAAAACAACGTCTGCCTCAGTCTCACGCAAAATACAACTCTGTAACTCAGCTCAATATCTGGAAAACTGCATTAGTTTTAGTCATTTTTGTGTTTTTGTAATTATACGAGTTTCAGTTTTTGAAACGATTGACAAAAAAACAAAATAGAACTTTTCACACTATTTTAATTTTTTTGAGATGCACCTGTATTTTCTCCTTCAGCGAAGACGCAGATACTGTATTCGGTTTCATTGTCTGTAGTAACACGAGCTTGATATTTTTCATCCAAGCAAGACCTCAGTGACCCCGACACTTGAATACTGCTTGAATACTCATGTTGTCAAATCAGTGGGTCTTTGAAAGAAACATTCTTGTTTTTGTAAAAAAGATTATTTGAGCATTCTTAGAAGAAATAAAGGAAACATCAATCGATGCCTTGGAGACAAAAGCAGCGTGGCATTTATTTATGTTCCTCGCAAACCAATGTGAATTATTCAAAGTGACATTTTTCTCTATTTTAACTTGGTCGAAAATTTAAAAAAAGGTTTTGATTTGTTGTGTTTCTTGCAGCAAAATTTTAATAAACTTTAAATCACATGGAACAACTATGATTAAATAAATTTTATTGGTTTAAATTTGAGGATCTTAACAGTTAAAGCAAATACATCTCTGAAGGTAAAAAAAATGCATTTCTCTCAAGTTGACTGGTTTTGGATGTACTCTGTCTTTTATTTTACATAACCTGAGACATCAAACACACATTGTGTTCTGCATAATGAAACACCTCAGATGTGCTTTACAGGGTTCTGCGCTTCATGCAACAGCTCATAAAACTAAAGAAAGTCGAGCAGTTTTTAGCAACAACTGGTTTAAATCCCTGCTAGTGGCACACAACGAGTAAAAAGCAACATTACAGGAATAAAAAGTCTCCAGTGACTGTGCTGAAGTGCCTGTGTTTATAGTAAACCATCTTTATTGCCTGCCATTGAAAGTGAAGTTGGAGCCCTAATGTTTGTACCTGTGCGTTTGTCTGTCTGTACGGTTAGCAAAATATTTCATGAACTAATTGGCAGGTTTTAATTAAACATTCAGAATGTGTCGGTAATCATGGGATACACATACTGGTACAAATCTGATTCACTTTTGGAGTCAACCCGATTCAGGATTGCTGCCACAGCCAGCTGATGTTGGCGAACACAAAACTAGCTAAAACTGTCATATTTTCAAAAATTGAGCGAAAATCTGCCGTGATAGAAAGTGAGAGTGATCCTCAGTGCATACTTTAAGGGCAAACAGATCACAAATAACTTTGTTTACACAGTTTGACCAAAACATGCATAACGCCATACCTTCTTGTCATAAGATGATTTTGGTTTAAAACTGTAGCCTGAAGGCAAAATACATTTTTTTCAAGGAATGCTGGGCCTCTATTTTATTTATTTTTTTGCATAGTTTATTTCTTACTGTTTTACAACTAACATCTCAGGTAACAAATATTCTATTAACCATTAAGACAGATCTCCAAAAACAACTTTGTTGATGTCAGAGATCAACTCTGTCAAAGAGATCAAGACAAGAATCAAGCGCCTGGCGAGACAAACTTCTTTGGAAGAACAGATCGGAATCGCTGATTATCAAACTTAGACTCTTCCGTCCAGTTGTCTTATCAGTCCTTCACTATGCAGCAGAAACCTGAACTCTGAACGCTGACATAGAACAAAAATAATATGCATATTTGAAATGACCTGCTGCCAACGCCTGCTTTAAGTCCACTGGTCCACCACAAATGCTGAGGTCTGCGTAGAGTCAATGTCCTCATTGGAGATCATGGCTCCTTATTAATTCAGACGAAGAGGAAGAAAGTAAAGTGGTTTGCCCATGTAGTGAGGGCCAAGAGAACTGTGTGATTCTCGAAGGAAAAGCTGAAGGAACCCATAAAAGAGGGTGTCCTTCTTGCATGGGCAGGTGACATCTACATCTGTACAGAGCTCCATGTCCATCTATACCTGGACAGGGCTCCATGTCCATCTATACCTGGACAGGGCTCCATGTCCATCTTTACCTGGACAGGGCTCCATGTCCATCTATACATGGACAGGGCTCCATGTCCATCTATACCTGGACAGGGCTCCATGTCCATCTATACATGGACAGGGCTCCATGTCCATCTTTACCTG